CGGAAAGCCAGCAGATAGAGAAGATGGCAGACTAAATATCTTGGAGAACAATCTTAAGTCAGAATTCAGGCTCCTTTTATACTAAAAAGGGGAGGGGATGTGGTTGGTTCTTGCAAACTTCTTGGTGTAGGAATTCTTTGTTCTTGTAGCTGTCCAGGTGGGTCAGGTCATGGTGCCCCTGTAAAACCTCTCACAAAACAAATGTTATTTTCTATTCTACAACTTGTCATCTTTATATAAGTTGCAAAAGTGTTAATATCCTTAATGGTCAGGGCCTTGAGAATAGGCCCTCCTGTATATTTCAGGCTAAAGGCAACATTGTATCACAAAAGGTGCAGAGGGGGCAAGACTGAGCCTAGAAAACAGCACAGAGGGTTAAAGCCAGAAACAGATCTAATATGGAGTCCGATTTGTTCTTTTCTGTTACAGAATCACTCTTAAATACCAGAAGGTACCATCTCATCTTCATGGATGAGACTTTTTCCCCCCACCTTTGACCAAGCCATTAAGGCCTGCACTTTAGAAAACTGCTTCTGACTTCAGGACAAGGGAGCAGAACTTGCTTTCTTTAGTCATTTTCAAGTGGGAGGTCTTATGTCCTGTGTGTTGATTCCAGGGTGTGTTGTTGTTGCCATTTGAGCAACAGTGTGGCTCCTTCCTTTGAGTTTCATAAAACTTGGTAATCTTGAGATTCCAGTTTTCAAGGAATTTAGCAAATGGATGATGTTTTTGTTGTTTTTAAATGTACCTTGCCAGTAGGAGGCAAGGAAGGGAAACAGATTTGTTGTGTTCCTTGATTTTAACTTTTCTTGAAGGACAGAAACTAAGCAGGCTTACACAGTATAGGTAGGAGATCTGAAGGTCACTGACGTCAGCCGCTGGTCTCCAAGGTGTCTAGGGAAAATTCCTATTAATTCCTCTGCTCTGGAAAATTTGATATGCCAGCAAGCTTCTCTTCCAGCTGCTTTTCAGTTTAGCAAAGTGTACTTCTGGGAATATCATCTTTTGTAGAGAGACAAAAAGCTATATTTTCTTTTACTAAAAATGTTCAAAGTTCCTCTTCTTCGCCACAGTGGACTAATCATCTCATAATATGGGGGGGGGGTTCTATACTTGTAAGGCCAGGGAAGGTGTGTTAATAGATGTTTCTGATGTTGCATTTTTGTAACTTCTATCTTGTATCCCTGCTACTATGTCTCTCTCCCTTTTTCCTTCCGTCCTTTCCCACTTGTCCAGACTTGGCAGACATGTTTATGAGGTTTGTGGATTCACTTATTTGCTATTTAAGGTA